CCAAGGGGTAAACAATGATGGTATTACACCTCCGACTATTTCATTATCAGCGTCATCACAAGTAATAATGCAATCGGCACCTTCATCTCCATTATAAATACCATCAGCACTACCATCACCGGTATCTCCAAATGAAGCTTACATGAGTTCAACACTAGTTCAGGTATCAAATCCTACAAAAAAAGTCACCAGCGACGTCCCCGATGCAGTTTTCCCAAGCCTCATCGTATAACTCATCTACCTACTCTTCCGATCATCAATCATCTAACCAGTATTCAAATATCGAACAACCAAATGATTGTTCAGAGGGTAAATATCTACCACATTTAAAATGATTAGCATCTGTCATATACCATGAAATCCAGAATGCCGATCCGATACTTGCTAAACTACCAAATTGATAACATAAACGCCAATAGAGGAGATCGACAGCGATCAACTTTATACGATGACAGTTGTGTTTTGGGTAATACTGGTAAGACGCGCCATATAGTGAGCGATAATAATGAGGCAGATTACCAAGAGAGAAGGACAATATTGCATTGGACAAAAGAGAAAGGGCACTCTTTCGTTTATTCCATTGAACCCACAGCATACTGAAACTGACGTCGTTATCTTCCATTAGTTCTACACTGCACTGAAAAGAGTGACTTGGTTTAGCGCAACTATTGACCACAACCTGCAGAAAACAGTCGTACATGGGCAGTATCCACCATTGAGTCACGACCAATTCATCAGAACAGACCATAAAACGATGCAGTAAATCCGTACTTATGTAAAAGTTTTATAGACCTCAAAAGATTTAATCAGACCATCTACAAAATTCTAATATTAATTTGGCTCTCCGAGACACAAAACAGATCCGAAATATACAGTATAGGGACGAAAGAGAAACGTGTAAAATTTTGAATTATAACATTGCCGACGAAATAATCGAAGTTATCGCCATGAAATACAAGTGACATCCATCGTTTGTTACACCAGCGAACATCTGCTGGACCTTAAGCATTTCATAACATCAAAAAATGGGAAGACTAGGAATTGACTGCATCTTTAAATTAGAACGTTTCTTCGTTACAACGTTAGTCTATAAGAACCATCGACTTATAGAGAAGGAACAAAAGAACATTCATTATTTTTAAGGCCAAATATTTTTACATCAAGGTCATACCGACGATTTTTCGACTATATTTCGGCAGCGTTAGATACGGCAGTCAGTGTAGATGTAGATCTTCGAATATCTCCTCTGATGGAATTTGGCAGTGACGACGGGAAAGCCTTTAATAAAGCAATTGAAGAATCATTCCCATTTTTAGAAAGAGTTCTATGTACGAAACATTTAAATTGATTGATTGATTGTTGGTTGCTTAACGTCCAGTGGCAAATATTTCATGCATATTCAGGACGAGAACAAGCTCACAACAAATACAATAGGCAGGTTCTGTAATAGATTAAGGGATTAATGTCGGAGAAATTTAGACTGCCACGGGAAATGAGGGTATATTGGATAGGGACAGAAATTTAGCCTTGCAACAGGTCACCTACGGACCCCTCAAAGAGTTGTTGCAAGTGTTCTTAACGTGCAAAGAGCGTGGCACTCTCTTTACACGAGGCATCGGATTTAACGTCCCCATTCTGACCGGACGTGGCATTTAAAAGACAACCTAACAACCTACAGCATTACATGACCGACGTAGCTGCCGTAAAACCAGACGATTGACTTGTTATTTCCGAAATGATTTTGTTGTGAAAAAGGACTTGTCAATGCCGACGACAGTTTTACAGGGCGGGAAATTTTAACCGTTGGTAAAAGAGAGTTGGTTTGATAGTAGAATAAATCTGTCTTGCATTACATATCCTATTCAGACAGTTTAGTAGTTTTTTTTTAAATAAATAAATCAAATGCGTCCAGAATGGAATAAGTTTACGGGTACTACCCCCTAACTGTCTTCTGGTTGTTTATACAATCGAACCTCGTTATGTCCTTCCAAGATTTTTCATTTGAATAAAAAACCGGTGAAGTAAATTACTTTCATAACCAAAGCTGAAAAGGAAGTGGATAAGCACATAAAAAGCAAAGACGATGAGGAACCAGATTAATATTATTTGTTAGTTAAACCAGCAGAATTTATTGTAAGGGAGAAAGTACAATAGCATGATTCAAATGGCGTGTTAAAGTGTCTTCAATTTAGATTATCCTAGAAAATATAATCAGTGCGTAAGATTTTGGCAACAGTATGTTTTAGGAGGTGCTTTTACAGGTTAAAAGTGTGTAAAATATAAGAGTTTATGAGTAAAATAACAAGTTACATCTAATTCATGGGAATAAGGAGAAAAATGAAGTTAAATTTTACTCATTAGAAAGATATTTACTGTGGGTTCTTTTACAACATTACACCTATCTCACATTTAAAAACAGTTTATAACCAAGACATAGTATAATGTCAGTCCAACTTTTTACCTCGTCATTTTGACTGTTTGAAGGTAAGCTCAGACACTCCAACAGGAATTAATATTGCTTGTCCATTATCAAGGACTTATTCAATACAATCATAAACCTCTGTTACATCTGTAAAATCAAGCACACAATCATTTCATCGAATACAACTGTCAATTTACATCTCCAATATATGTGTGATTTGTGGTTCTTCTTTATTCAGATTGCCATTACACATCATCTCCTTGTAGGTTAACAGTAATCATGTGTCACATTTTAGGTCAATCATATCTAACTTGGACAACAGACATAAGGGAGCTACATTTGATTTTTATAGGGGGAGGGGAGGGGGTTGCTAGGATTAAACATTTTTGTCCTGCTTTTTTTATTTTTCACTCTTTTCCGTCCTGCCTTTTTTTATTAGTTTATCCTGGCTTTTTTTACATAAATTGTCATCCTGCCTTTTTTTTACTCAAAACTCAAAAACAAATAGTAGCTATCTAATTTCTGTTGAATCTCCATCCTATCCATTAAAAATAACAGTTGTGTTTGGTGAAAACCCAAAAGCTTGATAGTTATATGCCAGAAAACTATGATAGCTTCTGCCTCTGACAATAACATGATCAAATCAACTTTTTATAAAAAGCGCCAATAATGTGAACCTCTGTTGCTATCATGTGTGTATTTTGTTGGCACTGCTGTGGTCAGTTAGGGCTCTGTAGGGATAACTTAGTTGATATGTCATACATTATATTGAATAACTTGATGGGTAAAAAAAATATATGGGGCAGCCGCAAAAACAGAACATCACCTAAGATAACAGTGAAAAATTGAAAACCAAGAGTTCACATTAATTTCATCACAATGACCAAATCCCAAAATATTTTTTTAGGAACACAATAAAATACCTACTACATACATTTTCCTGGCTTAAAAACAGAACTTAAGACATGTTTTCTTTACATTTAATTAAACCTCCCCCTACAAAACCTTGGTACTGTCCAAATGGATTGGGATATTTATCCTTGATGCGCCATACGCAACAGATTGGGATCACACGTCGATCCCCAGCCCCAAGTCTACCATAAACCCACACCTTAAATGGTCTGAATGAAGCAAATCTGTTTGATCTGTTAAAATCTACATCTTTGGACATGACCATCAACTCCTCTCTAAGCCTTCTTGCAACATGAAGGACTGCCTCATCTAGGACAATCAAATTGAAATCCTGATAAAAAATTAAATTTTATCTCATATCTTTGATGAGTTATGTTGTTACTTATCAACCTTATACGGAAAAACATAAAAAAAAATTGTGTATATTTTATCTAATTATTAACTTTACATCAATTATATAGAGTTGTCTAAGTATAACTTGGTTTGTAAACTTCTATATTATGCACACACGGTGTATGCACAATCCTTGAAATCTGGTTCAGGTATACAATTTATTAGGTGTTAGTTTAGAACATACTGGTAGCCTAGAGCAGCAGTTCTGTCTTGCTCTGCCATAGAAACGTCTCTCTCTCAGTCGGCATCTCCCTGCAGTATGTGCAAGTACACCAGTCAGGGGCTAGACTGTCTTGTGAAGGATGATGCCTACCATGCTGTGTGTCATCATAGTCAATGACATCAAAAGCATACCCAGGGTGATCTTTTACAATCCTGCCCTATTTGATCCGATTACTTGGTTGGCTCCTCTTCCTCTTCTGGGACCTCTCCCTCTTGCCCTCCTGGGGTTGATATAAATTTGGCATACTATTATATAAAGTAATAGAAAGTTTAACTTGCAAACCTGGAAAAACGTTTTCAAGGGTATTGATCTCTTCAGTGGCATAGTCACACATGAAGAACTTGGGTAACCAATAATGATTCCATTCTTTTAATACCTGCAAGGCCTCCATCAGGGAAGCACTGTCCTTGTTCTCTGTCACAAATGTTCCAACATTGATGTAATTCACATTCGTAGGCCCACACCTGAAATATTATTGGAAGGGAATATCTGGTTGTCCTGTATGTAGCATCCAAAAGGCAGATCTCTTTCCCATACATCTCAAGAAGTCTCCTCTGCCATTCAGTTTGGTGTACAAACAGGAACTTATTGTTTGTACCATATACCTTCCTAGTGTAGGCCTCCCCTATTCGTACATCATCCTCTGTCTCTTGCTCATCACCATGATTCCTCTCCAAGTCTTGAGTCTGAAATTAAAAAAATAAGTATATATACAACATGTGTGTGTCCTTTTAAGTAACTTTGTATTATTAATACCCAAAATATAGAAGCATCTTATATTTATACATGTTATATGAACTTCACATAATGTCATACCCGTATCAATACTGTGTACAACTACATGGAGGAATAAAATAATTCGATTATTTTGACTGAACAAGTTTTATTTTATTTTCAGTTTGTGTGCAATCTGAACTTAACATACATTACACCCAACAAAATT